GTATTAACACAACGTCACCAAGTTATCATGTCGTGTATTAACACAACGTCACCAAGTTATCATGTCGTGTATTAACACAACGTCACCAAGTTATCATGTCGTGTATTAACACAACGTCACCAAGTTATCATTTGACGTATTCACACTACACTACCTCACACGGTTATCATATGCTGTATTAATTTAATACAACGTCACTCAGTTATATTTTGACGTATTAATTCACACTACCTCACACGGTTATCATGGGCTGTATTAATTTAACACAACGTCACCAAGTTATCATTTGACGTATTCACACTACCTCACACGGTTATCCTGTGCTGTATTAATACCATATCATCCAGTCATCATGTGACGTGTTAATTCCGCCACACAGTGTGTGTAGTCGGGAAGTTGATAGCGTCCTCACCGCCACCCAACTGGGAACCACAAGACGTCTTCCTGTCATTTACTGCGACATTTCCCTCTAACAACGTGTCTCCTTCCTAAGCGTTCGCCTTCGGAAACAGCGGCCAATTTTGACACTGCAAATATCATATCGACACTCGCCTGTTTGCCCTCGCTGATTGAACTCGCTGACAGCCCCGCCGTCTTTTTCCCGCGCAAATAGAAATAGCGAGTAATGAACGCGCCAATGATATGATGTTTAAGGAGTTAATAGCTGAGCAAACAGACATGAGCGGCTGAATGTGACGATCCACCGGCGGCCATGCTGCAGCTATCCTGTGTCCATAACAACGAGCGATGACGAGTAACTCACGCACGCACGAAGCGGCGAGAGAGATGCGCGTCACGTGACTGCCCAGGCGCTGCATGCTGCTCTTCCGTCGCAGCGACACTTTCCGAATAGCTAAGCAGCGTTTAAGTTGCAACGTGCGATTATTTCAGCAAAATTTTTGCGATTTAGCAATTACCCCAACGGTTTATGTAGCTATATAAGATTAAGAATATGTCCCAGCCGTTCATGTAGCGAAGGATTGTAGCTATATGAGATTAAGCAACTATCACCCACGGTTTATGTTGCTAAAGATTGTAGCTATATAAGATTAAGAATATATCCCTGCCGTTCATGTAGCAAAATATTGTAGCTATGTAATATTAGGCAATTAACACCAACGAGTTATGTAGCAAAAGGTTGTAGCTATATAAGATTAAGAATATATCGCAACCGTTCATGTAGCTAAAGATTGTAGCTATATAAGATTAGATAACTATCCCCCACGGTCCATGTAGCTAAAGATTGTAGCTATATAAGATTAGATAACTATCCCCCACGGTCCATGTAGCTAAATCTGAAGCTTTATGAGACTAGGCAATTATCCAAACCGCTCATGCAGCTAAACCTGTAACTTTATAGGATTAAGGAATTATCCCACCGCTCATGTGGCTAAATGCTGTAGTTATATAAGATTATATAGGCAACTATCCCCAACGGTTTATGTAGCTAAATGTTGTAGCTATATAATATTAAGCATATACCCCAACGGTTTATGTAGCTAAATGCTGTAGCTATATATAATATTAAGGCATGATACCGCCAACGGTTTTATGTAGCTAAATGTTTGCTATATTTGATAGCAAGGATTACTAATCTTAATAAATATTAAGATATACCGGCCAACGGTTTAGTGTAGGCTAAATGCTGTAGCTATAGTAAGAATTACAGGAGAAGATGGTGATCACGCCAACCGTGCATGTAGCTAAAGGTTGTATATGCTTATATATTGCTATATAAGATTAAGCAACTATCCCCTATACGGTTCATGTAGTCGAGCACTGCTAGTTATGTTGCTTGCTATCCGCGTGTATATTTATCACAGTCACACACTCACCGCAAGTCACGTCTGTCTACAGCTACAATCAACGCGTTAGCTAATTAGCAAAGTTACAGTAATTATAAAAGCTAATATCTGTAGTTAATTACACGCCACACATTAATTAATGTAATATTGGCTGCTAACGTTGAGTCATTGGATACGGATGTTCTATCGATCTATCTATCTATCTATCTATCTATCTATCTATCCTATCTATTATCTATCTATTATCTTATCTATCTATCATCTATCTATCTATCTATATATTATCTATCTATATATCTATCTATCTATCTATCTATCTATCTATCTATCTATCTATCTTATCTATTTATCTATCTATCTATCTATCTATCTATCTATGCTATCTAGCTATCTATCTATCTATATATCATACTATCTATTCTATCTATCTATCTATCTAATCTATCTATCTATCTATCTATCTATCTATCTAATCTATCTATCTATCTATCATATCTGTGTATCTATCTATCTCTCTCTCTCTCCCCTCTCTCTCTCTCTCTCTCTTCTCTCTCTATATATATATATATATAATATATATAATATATATATATATATATATATATATGTGTGTGTGTGTGTGTGTGTGTGTGTGTGTGTGTGTGTGTGTGTGTGTGTGTGTGTGTGTGTGTGTTGTGTGTGTGTGTTGTGGTGTGTGTGTGTGTGTGTGTGTGTGTGTGTGTGCGTTGTGTATATATATATATATAATATATATATATATATAAGAGAGAGAGAGAAGAGAGAGAACGAGCGAGAGAGAGGGGGAGGCATATACGGGAAATATATAATATATTATATATTGCCCCGCATCCGGTCGCTGCTGCTGATAACTGACATTTTGTAAAAGACTGGCTTGCGGGCTCGGGGAGGAGGAGGGAGGGAGGGACGCGGCGTCTCTCGCGACGTTATCTCCGGCGTGCACCCCGGCGGCAGCTCGCTCGATAATGCGCGGCCCCGTAGCGGATGAAAAAAAGGATTACGCGCGCGCTCGCTGTTCAACGAAACATGTGCCGAGGGCGACAGCGTGAAATATGGCCGCGCGCGTGCGCCGGTGCATTCGATCAGCCAACCAAGAGAGTAGCGAGCTGTGATTGACATTGCGAGTGCGCGGGCGAGAACGCACGAAGCCAGCAATTTACAATGGAGTGTGTGTGTGTGTGTGTGTGTGTGTGTGTGTGTGTAGTGTGTGTGTGTGGTGTGTGTGTACGTGTGTGTGTGTGTGTGTGTGTTCGTGTGTGTGTGGTTGGTTGTGTGTGTGTGTGTGTGTGGTGTTGTACGTGATGTGGGTGGGGGGAGGCGTGTGTGTAACGCGTGTGCGTGCACTCTGCGCGCGTGTGTGTGTTGTGCTGTGTTGTGCGTGTGTGATGTGTGTAATCGTGAGCGTGGTGTGTATGCGGTTTAGTACGTTATAAGTCATGGCTGATAGGTCATGACTATGCGTACATGCTATACAATGGTACAAACATCGGCTAATACTGACAAGGCTATAGTAACTGCAATTGGTACATTTATAGTCAACATCGTAAGGCTGGCTAGTAAGCTTCGTACTGGCTATAACACATGGCAAGCGTACATGGCTATAGTACATGCTATAGTACATGGCTATCGTACTGGCGTATCGTACAATGGCTATCGTAGCATGGCTGTAGTACATGGCTATCGTAAATGCATAGTACATGGCTATAGTAATGCTATATGTAATGGAAAGGCTTATCGCGCTCGGGGCGTTACAAGCGTACGTGTGTCCATATCTTACTTCCGCAAACTACCCGAGACCTGTAAACCCTCGATATTCTATAAGATCTATATCTATATATCTTTCTTATATCTATATCTATATCTATATCTATATCTATAATCTATATCTATATCTATATTATATCTATATCTATATCTATATGCTATATCTTATATCTATATCTATATCTATATCTATATCAAAGTAATAATACCGCTAGAAGGTGTACAACGATGAAAAACGGGAAAATAGTGCTATTTCACGACAACATTATTCTACTTTGCCTGCGACCTATAATACTTTCATGGCATTGCATGTTAAAGCAAGAATTCTTGTGCTCTCTAAAACAAGACGCAACCGCTTTGTCAATACGCATACTCCTAGGCGGGAGATATCGGCTCCTAAACCTCCCCTCCCACATGCCAAACGGCCGCCTCGAATGCCACTTCTGTCCCCATCCTTCACGGCGTCTAAGCATTTTCGCTATACGGTTTCCGTCACCTCCGGCTTGGAGCGTCTGATAATTGATATGTCACATGCCCCAAATTTGGCTACCTTCTTATCTGAGCTGCGTTGTAGAGAGCTTAATTAAAACAAACATTGCCGGCTCCATCATGACGGGGCACTTAGCCGTGCTAGGAAAGATAATGGGAGATAAGGGCATAAGGCGAATGCCCCGGAAAGTCACCTCCAGCCCTGCACGGCTGCACCCGAAAATCATTCATATAAATTATGGCGGAAAAACCGAACTCTCAACGAAGTCAGACGCTTTAGCCGCGCTGAAGGATGGGGACAGAAAGTGGATTTCGAGGCGGCGTGCATGTGGGAAGGGGAGGTTGTAGGAGCCGATAATCCTCGCGCCTAGGAGTATCGTATTGACAAGCGGTTGGTCCTTGTTTTAGAGAGGCAAAGAATTCGTGCTTAATGGCAATACCCATGAAATATTTTAGACTCGCCAGGCAAAGTAGAATATGTTGTCGTGAATAGCAGCTATTTTCCGTTTTTCGCGTTAGTACACTCTAGGTATTATTAGCTCTTGTCTATATCTATATCTATATCTATATCTTTTTATATATCTTATATCTACTATCATATTTACATAATTATATATCTATATCTATATCTATGATCCTATATCTATATGCTATATCATACTATCTATATCGTATGGATCTATATCTATATCTATATCTATATCTAATAATCTATATCTATATTACAGTAATTATATATCTATATGCTATATCTATATATGGGTTGTTTTAAACGTGCCGCGGATCTAATAAGCAAACCCTGTTTCTAGATATTTTCACACACGACACACACACCACTACACACACACACACAGCACAGCACACACAACACACACACACACCACACACACACCCATCTCACACACACAGCAAACACACACACACACAATACACACCACACCACACACACAGCACACACACACTCGCACACATCAACACACACACATATCAACACGCACCCCGTACGCGCCATACACACACGCACAGCACGCGGCGTACATAAGCCACACACGCCGCGGCGGCACGAGCACCGCGCGCACACGCACGCAACGCGCGGTACAACCACACCCAGCACATACACACACACACACACTGCGCGTAGCCGCATCAGCAAACGCAGCAATTGTATACGCGCCCTTTTATGTAAAGTTTATATAAAATGAGTATGATAAATCTTTCAAGAATTTATGCATTCCTACAAATAATTGAACACCCGGCATCACATTCTGTGCTAACCGAGCAATTCCACTTAAGACTCAGAAAACTATATCACAACTTTCTCATACACATACACAACAACACAACACAACATATCGAGCACTCTCACTCACTGAGCTAAAGTACCAGCACTTTCAATTACGTGCACGAATACATACTAAAGCAGAGCTAGCCTGGCGTATTATAGGAAGCTCCACGCCGATACCAGGTAGAAACGGGAACATCATCCACGAAAAACCGTGCCGGATTTGTTAAACTACTCGTTCCTCGGGACACCAACTTACATTTACCCCTATGACACCGATGCAAATTCTCCGATGATCTCATCAATCTACATGCGCCGTAAATATCATCTAATTATTACTTACCATATGTATAAATACTACTTGACTATCACATATTATATTTGAGACTTTTCAGTGTATTAATAATACTTTACTGGTATTTTGTTGATGTGTGTGTGTGCAGATCATCAGTCGTTGATGTGATTGTGTGTGTGATGTATGTGTAGTGTGTGTGTATCGTGCCTGTCATAACGCTGACGTCGCGAGCTCAGTAGTGTGTGTGTGTGTGTGCGGCGCCAGCGCCTTGTGCGTGCATGCGTGTGTGTATGTGTGTAAGCGTGAGCGTGTGTGCGTATGTGTATAAGAGTGAGCATGTGTGTGTGCGACAGACTAAAATTCCCTGTGCGTGTTGTCGGGTGTTCGTGTATGCGGCGCATGCATGCTTCGATCACGCTCGGCTTTTCTCGGTTGATATATATTATCCTTACATTCACATTGCGTTGCGCATTTGTACGTGTTACGTTATGAAGTCGTATATCTGCGCTGGCACCTTTCTTCTACCGTCACCACCTGAACAGCGAGAACGAAAACGCGACGATGACGACGACGACGACGACGATGATGCCGACGATGAAAAGTATGACGTTATTTACGACGACGACGACGATGATGACGACGACGATGATGATGACGATGACGACGACGACGACGACGACGATGACGACGATGGCTCCGCGGACACGGGCGTGTTGGCGACATCATTAGATGGCGGGAGAGGAAAGAAGCGGGAAACGCACCGCTCTCTAATTGGCGAAGCTTCAATAGAGTCCTGTCATCGTCAATACCGAGACCACGCGCTCTGCTGCGGCTCTGCGGAAATTTAGAAAATGTATCGAATCTAGATCGTATCAAAACTGCTGCGGTAGCGGCAACACCAGCGGCGGCGGCGGCGGTGGCGGCGGCGGCAGCGGCAGCGGCGGCAGCACCAGCGGCTGCGGTAGCGACGGCAGCGACAGCAACAGCGGCGGCGACAGCAGCAGCAGCGGCAGCAGCGGCAATGGCGGCAGCAGCAGCGACAATGGCGGCAGCAGCAGCGACAATGGCGGTGGCAGCAGCAGCAACGGCAGCAGCGGCAATGGCGGCGGCAGCAGCAGCAACGGCAGCAGCAGCGACAATGGCGGCGGCAGCAGCAGCAACGGCAGCAGCAGCGACAATGGCGGCGGCAGCAGCAGCAACGGCCGTCTCACTCTCGCGCCTCGCGTTCCATTATTGCTGCCGTTAGAGGCTACGGAGCGACGACGGAAATTTGACGGAGGGGAAACTGCTTTCCATAATACATCCCATAATGGCGAATTTTCTAAGGGGCCGGAATTCTCCTGGAAATTAGACGTGGCTTGTATGACGGGATAATGCGCCTTAATGATACATACGGGACTTTATCGGGCTTCTCCGATCATTCGGCTGTGTCTGGTAGAGCCATAGAGAGAGAGAGATGGCGGGTAACACTGGCGGGGCAGCAGCGGGCGGGGGGATAGCAGGGGCAGACGATTCAGTCTCGTTATACCTTACAACGGTTGCCGGTGCAATTAGGCAGCAGGTAATTTGGCAGGATGAGAGGCGAGCCGGCGCGCAATGTTACGACGCGCTGTGAAAGGCATCATCATCGTCGGCGTCGGCGTCGGCGCGAGGGCGGCCGGAAGCGGTCGCATCTCGTCAGCTCGCGCCGTCGCCGTGCGACACCCGCGCCGGAAATTGGGATCCGTTCGCAGCGTAGCGACCAAAGAATATAGATGCGCGCGCGAGGTGTGCGTGCTTGTAGGTGTGGAGATTCGCAAGAGCATACATGCACGCACGCACGAACGCACGCACGCAGATACATACACAACCGCGCACACACATACACACACACGCGCGCGTGCACACATATACACACACACGCGCGCGCGCGCACACACACACACACGCGCGCGCGCGCACACACACACACACGCACACGCACACGCACACACACACGCACACACACACACACACACACACGCACAAGCACACGCACACGCACACGCACACGCACACGCACACGCACACGCACACGCACACGCACAC